TTTCTCTACTACTGTGTCCATTGCCTGTGATAATTTCACTGAAAAACTGGGAACACGACACCAACTGGCCTGTGCCCGAGAGGGAATTTATTTTTCAATGAAAAATAATACGTTACCATCATTCATGAAATGGAATATCAGCTGCATTCCCAATCTTGGAGATAAGGACATTGACAATTTGTTCCAATCTCTTTGGAAGGAAAAGGCTGATTCTTTGAAAAAGGAATTTATGCAAGAATCCATCAAATTCTTGGAGGATAAAATTGAAGAAACTAATAATAAATTAAAAGAAATCAGACATGAGGCTCTCCAAAAAATCGGAACAGCCACTTCCACCTCAGGATTAGCCCGAAACGAGCTTAATACCCGTATGAATGCCAGCAAGGAAAAATTTGATAAGGAACTGTTGCAATTTTGCACAGCAATAAGAACCAAACCTAAACAGGCGGCTGGAAAAAACAAATCCACTACCGGTAACTCATATAGAGGAGGCAAAGGCAAAGGACATAAAGGGCGAAAATTTTCACCTTACTAAGACTTTAATGTCCATTTATAAAAACTTGAGTGTATCACTCATGCGCAACTGAACTGATTCGCTATACTAAAGTGACTCTATTGTCCGATTATTATATTTGAGTGTATCACTCTTAACTCTAACGAACTTATCCCTATGGGAATTAGTCATTTCTTTAAAGTATCATTCGCTATTGATTACATACTGTGACAAATTATGTTCTGTGAATGATCAATGAATAAAATATTCATTTCCTTTGGAATTTTGCTATCTTATTGATATGCCTTTTGGTAAGGAAATTGTATTTTTAATTTTCTAATTGGTTAGTTCAAACATGATTACCTCTGGATTGTTCAATAATTACATACAGGATTTGTACGCATGCGCTAGCGGCATTTTTTACCACGTGCGAAGGTTTGCTCACATTTTCACATACACAGCTAACAGAATGGCACGTCGTTTCGATCGAAACATCAAAAGAAGAAAACGATCTATTAGGGCAATGAAATACAAAGCCCGCAGAAATAGAAAGTTCTACTCCAATGTTCTTTTTGCAAGAGAACATGTATTCAATTTGACCAAAAACAAGTTAACAGATAGTGAATACTTATTGTTAGCAAAAGGGCTGAAATTCATCCCAACACCTTCGACAAAAGTCGCAAAAAACGACTTACTCAAAGATTTTGATGAACTTGCACGTAAAATGAAATGTAAGTTCTATTTCAAGACTAATAACGATGAGATTCATCCTTTCTACACAAAGAGTGGATATGAACCACCTAAGATGATTGGTGCACTTGGAACCTACATCGATAAGACCAAACTTGAACTTTCCTCAATTCAAATAAAAAAATGCTCTGATAATTTATCTCAACTTGAGAGAAGAGCACTTAACCAATTACGATATCGCCACGATATTGTAATTAAAAAGGCAGACAAAAACAACATATGTGTTGTTATGAACAAACACGATTATATTAAGGAGGGCGATCGCCAATTGAACACTAAATATTACGAAATAATTGACGATTTTGATTTATCAGTGCTCCAAAGGAATATTGAAAATAAAATCAATGAACTTAAGGCAAATGGGTATCTAGATAAAGTTACATATAGATTTTTAATGGATATTACGTATCCACGAATAGGTAGATTATACTTACTACCTAAACTTCACAAATTAGATCAGACGATGTTTGATCTTATCAAAGAACAGGGCCACTACAATCAAGAAATCATTTGCCCGGCACGACCTATTATCTCGCAATGCGGGTCGGCGACGGAACGAATCAGCCAATATGTTGATTACTTCCTAATACCAATAGTCAAAACACAATCCACTCACATCAGAGATAGCTCTGATTTCATAATAAAAATAGAAAAACTTAGACCTCAAGCAGAATGCATAATGGTCAGTTATGATGTAACATCCCTGTATACAAATATGCAGTTCAACGAATTACTCACAGCTGTCAGTGAAGCATACTCTAAATTCAACAAAGGAGAATTTAAAATCCCTTCGCCACCTACAGAAGATCTTCTGTGGTTGTTACAAACAATATTAGAAAATAATGTCTTTGAATTTAATTCTAAGAAATATAAACAAATTATAGGCTGCGCAATGGGCTCAAAATGCAGTCCTGAAGTGTGCGATATCAGAATGCATGAAGTCACTTCGGAAATTCTAAACAAATTTCCATTTCAACATAATATTGTTTATCACGGTCGATATCGAGATGATGGATTTATAATCTATCATGGGGAAATTCATAAATTTTTCCAAATAGCAAATTCACATCATCCTCTTTTAAAACTCACATATGAAATTTCTGACAAAGAAATGAACTTCCTTGACATCGAAAGGTTTGAATTAGAAGGAATTGTTGATGTCAAAACTTTCATAAAACCCACTAATACTTTCCAGTATCTGGAACGCAATAGTGCACATAGCCCTTCTGTTTTCAAGGGAATCATTAAAGGCGAAATCATTCGTCATTTACGCAATACTAGCGATTCTAATATTTTTCACAATGCGATCGAGAAGTTCAAATTTTCTCTGTTGAAAAGAGGATATAATGAAAATGAGATTAACAGTTCAATGAACAATGTTCTAGAAAACTACAAAAGAGACCATTTAAATCAAAAAAAGAAAGTTGACAGTAATTCTGATATACCATTGGTCATGGTTACAAAATACAACCCAGCCATTAGCAATATCAAAAAGAAATTGCTAAAATACTGGCACACTCTATCAAGAGAGCCCGAACTCAAAGATATATTCAAAGACAAACCAATTATAGCATATAAAAAACACAGGAGTTTAGGAGATCTCCTAACAAGTTCAAAACTTTAATAAAAGTTAGTAAAGCCTCACTTACTGGTCAATTACAATGTAATCAACCATATCATTTACTGACATATCTCAGTCAGAGACAGTTAACAAATTATCGCTTTCTTGCATATTTATTTACACAAACAACTTTCATCTGTGTTTATTATTTAAACATTACGTGACCTTGGGAAATTCCCTTACCGGTTCTACTATTTAAAAAGAACATACCGGTATATAATAACACAAATAAAATGAATATACAATATTGATATATATAAGTGGATTCCTGATGATGGCGGACTTATATAACTAATTATAATTAGTATAGAATATCTATTTATTGCTTGACCTGTTATCACACCGCCGAAACACTAAATTAGTGTCGGATTTAAGTGAAAACGGGGTTCGTGGCTTGATGGGAGTCACTTTTTTACTACGTTTTACCGGGTGTATTCAATTTGTTAAGTCTGCACACATTATTGACTGACAATACTGGTTAGTTAGTTAGTTTGCTTTTTTGTATTTCTACTCTGAAATTTCTGGATTAAAATTTTCATATTTTTCATTAATACCCAACAAAATTTCTACTTTTCATAAGTATTGTGGATAAAGTTTACTTTGTGAAAATGTGAGAATATGTGTCACTCAAACACGCCCCGAAAATCGTACTTTTAACAATATCCTGATGAAAGAATTTTCTTAACACGCTTTTAATATACTTGGTTTGAAATGCTCTAGAAACATATGTCATGATATTATTTAGAGACTTTTAGAAAATATGAGCTTTAATTCTGTGTCCGAGCCCCTTTAGTCACCTGGACTGAGCGTTTTACAATTACTTGCTACATGCGAGAAAATGGAATAATTAATTAATCTGATAATTGCCCGGACGTTACAAAATACTGAAATGCACTTAAAAAATAAATAATGGCCGCCGCAGATTTCAACCATGGCGCACATAAATTTAACCTTTCCAGGCCGTCATGGTAAAACCCCTTGTGGAGAACCCTGTATCAATGAGACCCCTCTCCCATAACAACAGAACCCCTGACTCAGGGATAATGAATTTCAATATTTTTGGAAGATGCACCCTTGCTCATCATAACCATGCACATAGATTGTGTGCTAAATACCCAGCATCAGACAAGATTTTCAATGAAACAATGCACTTTCTCAATATAATCATTTAGCCCTCCCTCCACCTCCGATCAGCGATCCAGGGGCCATAAAATTCAAAATTTTGGAAGAGGCACCCTTGCACATCATAATCATGCTCTAATGTTTTTTTTTTTTTTTTTTTTTTTTTTTCTGCTTAATACCCAGAATAAAAGATCTTCAAAGAAATATTGATTTTTTTTTAGATTTAATTTTTAAGTCCTGTTCTAACACTAGAATCCCTGACCATGAATTTCATAATTTTGAAAAAGGCATTCTTGCTCTTCGCACATCATACATGCAATTAGTTTGTCAATATATACCCAAAAGCAGAGAAGAAAGATTTCTAAGGAATTCATGCATTTTCACCGTATGATCAATAAAGCCCCGTCTTGACCAGGGGCCAGGAATTTCACAATTTTGGAGGAGGCGCCCTTGCTTATTATTGCCGTGCACTTAGTTTATGTGCTTTATAGCCAGGAGCGGAGGAGAAGATTTTCAAAGACATAATACATTTTCACAGGTTTTGTTTCAGGGGGTATGATTAATTATAGATGCTTTATTAATTCATTCCAGTGATCAAGAACAAATAAATTCAATTACTGGCCTGGTAATTTATTTTGACATTTTTTTGACTTTATTCAACATTTCGCCCCACGTGCGCCAGCGGTTTTGCTTGATTTTGTTCTTCAGACACATCAAGCAGGTTGTTGTCAGTAAGCAAACTGTACCAGTACCTGTTGTTTCCCATTGATAATTCCTTTGAAAACACGTTTGTCTCTATACTTTATGGCAACTCTCATATTTTATTATCTATTTGTGCAGAATATAAAACTGTGTTGGCCCAAAAACCAGAATTCCGAGCTACACTTAGCTTTGTTCATACTTGTTAAATAGGTCAAAAGATTTGATCTATTTAATGTTTAGGTTTTTTCGATAGTTTATAACTTATCACAATGAGGAATTCAATATGTTTATTTTATTTTCGTTTTTATATACCTGGTAATATTTGTCATTCTTCCTCATCACTTTAAAAGCTCTATCCTCGCAGAGAGGGAAGTTAATAAATGTTTGGCCGTAACAGATATTTACAGTGAAGATATCCCCTCCAGATCTTGCGGCTACTGCGCATGTGCATCTGGGATATGAGTAATGTGGATGACACCTATGATGTTTCACTTGTACCTTGAAAAACAAAAAATGTATTTTGTAAGCTATTTTAATCGACATGGAACTAAAAATCCAGATTCAACGATTTCAAATTACCTCTTGATTAAATTTTGCATTTTTATACAAAATATACGTTCCTTCCTCTTGACACTCATACTTACTGGAAAAAAAAGATTGAGAATATGTATATATAATCACAAAAAAAAAAAAAAAAAAAAAAAAAAAAAAACACTTTTAAAAGCACACAGTGAAAATTATATTAAGGCAAGTAAAAACAGAAACTTACTATCCATCAAACGTTAACATATGAGGATCAGTATAGGACCCACAATGTTTCTCTTTCCACACAGAATTAGGTTCCCTTATGTCCACCTTAATGTATACATTTTCATGTTTAAACATTTTATGTTAAAAACATAGCCTATTTTGGATAAAAATCATCCTAAACACATTCAAACTCCTAGCTAGATAGCTATAGCTAGAAATACATACATACATTTAAATACATACACCTAGATGAATACCAGATAAACAAAAATAGATAGATAGGTTTACATAATTGATTTGAAAAATATCTAAAACATGATAAACGAATAAATGACAGCGAAGAGATTGAATTAATAAAATGGACCACAATGCTCATCTATGTCTTTTTTTTTGTCAGTTTAAGAATTAGTAGTGCAATTGCTTTAGTATAATTGTATCATACGAGGGAGTAACTTTTTTCCGGATTTTTTTACTTCATTTTCCCTGAGTTGGTTATTATTTTACTACACTGAACAAAAACATGTCTTTTTAAAAAATGATTTTGAGATGATGTTATTTTAATAGCTTGATAATCGATGAAGTAAAAAGGAATTATTTGCCAAATACATGCATCATGTATCAGTAGTTACATGTACTTTGAAATTAAGTCCATTAAGTTACAAGTTAGGTATAAGTCGAATTAAGGCCTTAGAACTAGTGCCCTACCCCATTGCTTAATTGAAAAAGAGCAAAAATATTCCAAATCAAAGTACAATAAACATTGAATTTAAATGTAAACGAGTAAATTAAGGATTAGGCGATTTCAGTTAAATTTATTTGATTCAATCAATGATTTATAAGTAAGAAATACATTCATAACTACACCAAAGCTCCTTGCAAACGCGTACATGTATGTCTTCCATGGGACCACGGGCAGCGATGGTAATATGCTAAAAAAGATGACATTGTCTTTGTAAAAAAAAAGTAATTCCTAGGAATTATATTTTAAAAGGAGACTTTATCAACAACTTCTGGTTTGAATTGAAAAGTTTTCTGGTCCATTCAGACATAACTTCCGATTGAAACCGGAAATGACAAAGGCTAGAAGAAGAAAAAAAAACCCTTAAATTGTATTTACAAATCATTTTATACATGTACCATTCTTAATATTTCAGCGATAAAGCTTCTTTTTTCGAATGCTTCGAATCAATACCGGTTAATACCAAAGGTAAACTGTACTTCCAGTGGGATTGTTTTGAGAAATCGCATTATACTATGAAAGGGGAAGTATAATGATAAAAGGAAACAGAATGGAAGTAAAAATGACTTACGTCCTCCGAAGAAGTTGGAAATACTTAATTACTTTATTGCTTGATTTTGATACATTTTTGTTTCTTTAAATGCTTTGACTAAAATATAATGAATGTATGATTAGAAATAGGAATAAATGTGGTCCTTATGTTCTTGAGAAATAAAACAACAACAACGACAAATAAATGGAATGGATAGAGTTCTTTTAGCTCTTAAAACTTAAAGAAGCAACATTTCGATCAAAACTTGGACAGATATAAACTTGAATATACAAACTACTTGTATTATACTTGTATAAAATTATTAGTTTTACCAGCCACAGAACTGAAGCTCTCTGATTGAGAAAATTCGGACTCTCAGACTTAAAAACCAGAGAGCATTAGATTCAAGCATAAAAACACAGTCGATGTACGCTGCGGCTTTCTTTTCGCTCGCTTCGGGTATTATAATTGTATTATATGCGTTCCCCCGCCAAAAGCATGATATCCATTAAATAACCATCTGATCACCTTTACACACTGTAGGAATAATTAGGCGAAATATGATAAATCGAGAACAAAGTGAAATAAAAAAACAGCATATTTTCCAAATTTGTAGTATTTCTACGTATACGAGGAACATTTTATGGATTTTTAACCTTAGTAATTTTTTGTATCTATTCATACCTCATTCCTTGTTGGTTCTGGAAATTGAAAAATTAATGTAAAACAAAAATACAGACGGTAATAAAATCAAAACATAGAACCCTTGGCTCAGGTGCAAAAAAGCATAACAGCCAAACAAAAAAAGGATACCTACTTTCAACACATGTACTTACGACTTATAACATATGCACTGCTGTTCTTTAGGAGTGTTTTTAACGGTTCCTTTTTTCTCTTTATTCCAAAGAAAATCATTGATCCCCTTTTGTGACCCCAGCCTACCAACGAGGCCTATATATATATATATATATTGAAGACAAATTTTTTGGCTTGCTTAGATGGCCGAGCGGTCTAGCGCGCTGTTCTTGTACTGCTAGGAGACAGATTCTGTAGGTCGAGAGTTCAACCCCGGGCTGAAGCGGAAGTTGGTACATTTGTATTCTTACAAAAGTGAATTTCTTTGTGCTTTATATATATATATATATATATATATATATATATATATATATATATATATATATATATATATATATATATATATATATATATATAACACTTAAGTGTAGAGTTCCAAAGACCTTACATGTCATCTGAGTATAACACAACACAGCAAAGGATAAATAGATGTCTATACATGTAATAAAATAAAATGAACTTAGAGATGGAGATATGTTGTTCCAAAGCAAGAAAAATAGGATCGTCAGAGATCAACAAAATATTTTGTCTATTACGTACTCGGTAATAAATCATAGAGTAGATCTACTTACTTGCCAGAACTAATACACTCCTATTGTAATCCATTTATATTCCCCTGGTCTTTGAATAATATATCAAGTACAAAGGTGTAACGTATTTTGTCTCATTGTTTAGTTATCTATTATTTTGACAAATCCACATGATCATTAATTATTAAAGTACTTTGTTTTGCATTTAACATTAAAAATTATTGTTTAATTCCTTTATTCAATTTCACCTACCAATTACATTATTTACAGTCATTTATTATCATAGGTGAATAGCAAAGGGGAATAACTTATCTTAGTAGAGGAGAAATTTACTAAGACAAGGTCAATAGAGCTCTGACCAGCACAAGAACACTTGACCCAGTAGTCTCTTTCACAAACTGGTAAAAACACCCTTGCTCATTACAACTGTGTTTACCTCCTAGATGCCGAAGAGTAGAGAAGAAGACTTAATGTTCACTATATTATCAATAGAGCTCCTTCATAACAGCAAAACACTAACCCAAAGGCTATAGGAAGAAATCCTTGCTCATCATTAGTATACATTTAGATTGTTTGCTAAATACCCAGAAGAATATTTGTTACTTAAACAAATAATGCATTTTTACTATCTGATCAACAGAACCCCGCCCTTCACCAAAGCGCCTGACCAATTTTGCAATTTTGTAAGAGGTCCCCTTACTTATCATAACAATGCATTTAATTTGTTTGCTTATTACCCAGGAGCATAGAAGAAGATTGACCAAGAATTAATGTCAAAAGAGCCCCGCCCTTACACCAGAATGACTGACCAGTGCCGTAAATTTCACAAATTGGAAGAGGTATCCTTAATTATCATAATCATGCTTTTACTTATCTGCTTAATTGGAGATTTTCAAAGAATAAATGCATTTTCACTTTATTATAATCAATAGACCCCCCGTCACATTTAAATCTTCATAATCAAACACGCAAGCAATTTGTATTCACCTGTGGGAGGCCTCCATTTTTCATCGGGTTCATGTTACCCCGTTGTATACCTAAAATCACTGGACCGTTAAAATATATGTAAGTCCGTGCTTCAGTTTGGACACGACAGTCCGGGGAGAAGGAAGTTTTCAAAACTTATCAAGATATGTTTGATTTATCTTATACACATGACAGACCACTGAGGGTTTAACTTAATATTTAGAATTTTGTTGTGTGGTCCTGCGTCTCTGAGGTACAGTGTAAGTCTATTTGAGTTTATTTTTAATATTTTATAAAGTTGTTAAGCTATTCGCTATTTGATGTTTTATGTTCTGTTCTTTATAATTACTCGAAAATGATCGAGTCTTAATTGTACGGTGGATTGTTTTGCCTTTATTTGTCGGTTCTACGTTCTGTAACAACTGTTGTGTAGTAAAGCATTTATTGCATTGTACATATTGCACTCACGGAATAAGTTGTATGTCTATATTATTCTGTGTATGATATTTAACAGGTCTCGTTCCCGTATAGTAGTGTAGAGATGGCGGTCGGCACCAGTCACATCTCATAGTCTTGAATGCAAGACGGACGTGTAACCTTTGACAATGGGGCTACAAACTTCGCAATTTTGGAAGAGGCATCCTTGCTCATCGTAACCATAAACGTTTATCTGCTAAGTATACACAGGAAGAGAAAATTTTTAAAGAATTTTATGCATCTTCACTATATGATCATTAGAGCCCTACCCTAACTCAAGAAAACTAGGTAATAGTCTAAGGCCATGAATTTCACAATTTTGGCAGTGTCCTCAATGCTTATTACTATCATGCCAACAGTTGAACTGTTTGCAATTGATGTCCAGGAGAAAAGAAGAATATTTCAAATAGTGCATTAATTTTGATAGTTTAGCTCCCCCCCCCCCCCCATGCTCCTGAGGGGTGCGAAACATAAAATTCACAATTCTTGTTCCCCTTCATATGGTTCAGCGGCGGTTCCAGAGAAGAAGCTGAAAAGGTACTAAACGCACGACGACAGACGAATAGCAATAGGTCGCCTGAGTGACTCAGGACTCGGACTTAATATGAAAAGTTTACAGATGGCACACAGCACACGAAGACGACAGAAAAAAAACGTAAATGGGACACCGGACAAAATGAGATCAGAAAAGCTCACTTGAGACTATGGCTTAATCAGGTGAACATATCTTAGGTGAGCAAATAAAAACGGCTACAATGTATATATTAAAACCACTATCTAAGAAGTCATAAAATAACTATCATATTAATATAAATGAAATATAAAAAATAATATCTCGCCTGAATATCTGGTAAAAATATTTTGTCAAATAGCTTGTTTGTCTTCCTATTGGCATTTCCAGTCTGAAGTCGCAATGTCACCTGCTTGTTTACATTTTTGTAGTCTAAATCGTTTGTATTATAAATTTTCATGATGTGGATTCCTCTCCAGTCATCTGTAGCATACTTTGCACGCTCTTTATACGAGTACGATTTTA